AAACAAACAAACAAACAAACAAACAAACAAACAAACAAACACCTGCAGTTTTATCCTGTTAGTGAACCTCTCTCTGAGTCGTTGGTTTGGTGACATCACAGATTATGGTGAACTCAGTGTTTTGGGGGGTTCTGGTCATGGACCCTCCTGGTCTTCTTCCATGAGGTCCATTTTGACTCAGAAAGCTACAGATGATGTAAAAATGTTTCTTGACCTTGAAGTTCATCTTGAACGGTTTTCTAAAACTTCTCATCGTATCTTCATCCATCCAAACTATCTGCACCCACCTGGACAAGCCTGTACTCTCCCTGAGGGTCCTGTACTCTCCCCGAGGGTCCTGTACTCTCCCTGAGGGTCCTGTACTCTCCCTGAGGGTCCTGTACTCTCCCTGAGGGTCCTGTTTCAGACTTTGATACCACCAGTCTGGTTCTACTGGCTGAGAAACTCACAGAGATGCAGGTGGATGATGCTACCAGGCTGTGATCACATGGTGCCAGCAGAAGCACCTACAGCTCAATGTGATGAAGACTGTTTAATCATTTCATTATTTGTGTTGTGTTGGTTTTTTTAATAAAATGTTTTGTTTTTAATTAAATAAAGAAAAAAAAAGACTGAGGAACTGGTTGTGGATCTGAGAAGGAGCAGGACACTGGTGACCCCTGTTTCCATYAAGARGGTCACTGTGGACATTGTGGCAGATTATAAATACCTTGGAGTACTCACTGACCATAAACTGGACTAAAGGTCCACCAGAAGCAGGACAGGTTGTTCAGTTTGTTCATCTCCATCTATGAGTTTTTTTTAACTAACTTTATAAACGTCTGCTTCTGGGTCCAACAGTCAGATTCTGGAACAGAGCAGTTTTTTAAGTGAAATGCAGCTCATTCAGCACAAACAAACAGCCACAAACTTCCGACCAATCACAGGTTCTTATGTTTGTCCTGTGGGTTGTGACAGGAAGGGGCAGACTGTGAAACTGTGACAATGACAGTCGATTTGAGTTTGGATGCAGCCTGCAGAGACCCTAACCCTTTAAAGCCTGACCCTTTAAAAMWWG